TTGCAAAATTAAGGTCTTTACTGAGAGCTATTTCTAACTTTCAGATTAAAATCCAGCACAGCCTGTACTGACAGTAATTGTACCTTATCCATATAGATAAATACTGCATTTAGAAATAGTTATTTCCACTTTGACAGAGGAAGGCAAAATGAATTGTCACTGTCACAACCCTTAAGCAAATGGAATATTGAACCAGCTCTTCCTAAAATTCTATGCTATATACTTTTAGATATTTTACCTTTCCTTGGGAGATAGCAAACATCAGTTTCCTCTAAAGTCATAATTCCTCAGAAATTTGGAAAGTCATATTTAATACTTTCCAGAGCTCAGCATCAGAAATTAAGAATTTATATTTAATAGAAATTTGCATCATTTGGTTCAAAAAGTTTTCTAACATGAGAATTCATAGCCAAGAGAAAACCAGTTTCTCTCAAACATCAGTTATTTCTACTGCAAAGATAAGGTAAGGGAGTTGGAAATCAAAAGTTATCTTCTACGTTGAATCTAAGGGCTTTTCTTAATGCATCCTACCAAAACTATCTTTCTTAAAAAGAGAATTACTTCAATGGTAAGACAGTCCTTGAGAACTGAATGGGACACAAGGGCTAGTGGGAAAATATGATTAAAGACAGTTATTTAATGCTGGTGCAAATTCTGCATTAAACACCTGGGGGTACAAAGGTAAATAACAGTAGGAGTTATGCTTCATGGGATTATTTCCCCAGCTCTACCACTAACAACCCCCTATGGTGATTTACTATTACTTGCATCACTGGCTACAGCCACAACTCCATCTGGGGGTGTCAACTGGCCACTAACAGATCTTTTCCTGTGTTTTGGCTTTGTCACTTGTAAAAAGACTGTAAATTTACTGTTATATTTACACCACAGGTGAACAGAGCACCCCACCATGCCTGGTATTGCCTTCAGAACTTTCTTGATACCATCCCTGCTGTTGCTGCAAGCACACAAAGGAGAAAGATTTAAGTTGATTGCATTTGCAAATCATTCCAGCCATACCTGCACTAGAAAACACTGCAGTTCACAGGGTGCTACTCCATCAGTGCTTACAATAGTAAGGAGCACTACTGAGCCTCCATGTGATGTTTCACAGTCCTTTTATAGCCTAGAATAGATAAGCACTCACAGCACACTCAAATTCCTACATTACTTTCTGTTCCAGTTAATGATACATCATCAAAAGGTGTCTAAACAAATTTAAAAATTTGGTTTTCAATACATCCCCTTCCTCAGAAGCTTGCTGACATCTTAAAATATTAACCTATCCATATTTCCTCTCCCTTCACACACACACTCCCCCAAGCCCCATAGCATTCCCAATCACGATCACCTGACACTTGAACTGGTAAAACAGAGCTCACAAACATCCCACATCTGTTTTAAATATGCAGTCAGCCAGCTTAGCCCAATGGAGCTGCAAGGGCAGGTTTTCCTGAGCCTTAGGACTTCTGCCCTGGAGCTGCTGAGAGGCACACGTCCCTTGTCCTCTACAGTGGAGGTGGCCACCTTCCTCCACCTTTAACAGGTGCCACTGTTTCTGCAGGTAAGTATTTAACTGCAGCCTGAAGACAGAATGTTATTGGTACAGAACAGTCTTTCCTACTACTGATGAGTTTATGGAACTGAAAAGTAGGGGGTGGGGAAATAGCAATAACAAAGCTGTGAGTCTCCACCTTTCCTGAATATCTACATGCTTAATTTGTTATATGAAACTTACGGACCCTACCTTAGCATTATCAGATAATGTCTCCTTCTAAAACAACTTCTGTGAATTTGCTTGGAGAAAAATGTTCTTAGTTTCTTCCAAACACAGATGGAAGATGCCATTTCCTAGTTGGCTAATGGTCACTCAGCAGAAGTGCAAGTACTGAAAGCAAGGATAATGCACAGGCCAAAGCAGTATAATATTTTTGTGTCTTTTTTTGTGGACATCTTAGTAATGTTAGATATCCATTCAAGTTTCTTCCTTACGTTTCAGCAAGCTGTTGATACCAGCTTGAGGTTTTGGTACTTCTTGGGAACCAGACTGAGCTTTAGGCATGTCTGTTGGCCCCTAACAGAGCTTTCCTGGGACAACACACACTGTAACACCCAGAACAAAGAGCCAGAACTGAGAACAAATTCTTACTTAGCTGAGGGGATCTGGCTACAGAACAGAACTCTAGGAGAGGTCAGGCATATTCAGAGCCTGAGCAGTCTCAGCAATGCTGATGTTCCTGCTGAAAAGGCCTGCCTTTCAGTGGATTGCTCCCAGCATTGGTGCTCCTTTCTCCCGTCAATCTGAAACCATCATCCTTAAAAATGAATTAATCACTTTTCTGGGAACCTTTGCCTCCAGTAGTGGTTCCTCTCACTTGCACCTAAGCTGTATAAAGGCCTGTAAGTGCTTGGTACTGCTGGCAGGGTATTAGGTAGCAGTAATGTTTCGTATACAGAAATGCCTGCTTCTCTCACAGAGGTCTCTAGAGCGCAAATTTTGTGGATTATCCAGTGTGTGAGTGTATTTTTACCTAATGTTAAATGTTCGGTTATTGTTATCGCTCTGTTTTTGCAATTAGTAGGTTTATAAGGTTAGCAGATGGGCAACAGTAAAAAACAAAAAAACAACTCTGAAAATATAAGTAACTGTGAAGGCAGTTATTACTTCTATGCTAAAGTCTGCTAGAATCTTGTAGAAGAGCTTCTTACTGTTTTGGATGAAAGGTGTTGAAGTAGATCACTTTATGAGTAGATACGGTTGCTGATGGAAAAAATAGCACATATTCAGCATTGAAATAAATATAGAGATCTTCTTTGAATTAACTGGGAGCTGGATCATGACACCTTTCTTCATTGGAGATCACTGGTGTATTGTGTAGTAAAGATAAAAAAGTGAAAATGAGCAACTCTGCAACCTTCTATTCCAAGTGTTTCAATCCATCACATGTGTGGTACCATAAGAACCTTCAAACAACTCTAATGTAGGAGGCAGAAGCGTTATAATCTGATTAGTACTCTGTATGTAACTTTCTCAATGTTTATATCAAAGCTTCTTACTTATCTGTAAAAAAATCATTATTAAAAGCTGCATTGGTGCTGCCATCCTGGTGATTTCTTACCTACTAAACTCTAGTTTCTATATGAATTGTGTTGGGGTTGTGCCCCCTTCAGAAGCAGGGACTCTTGCAAATAGCAGCTTTAGACTGAAATCACTTTGGTGTTGATGTTACTTACCCTGACATAACTAATACAGGTTGTGGTTATGGTAAAGAAATTGCTTAGCATGCTGCTACACAATACACACAATAAAAAGCCAATGGGAACTTTTAGGGTCTAGAATAGCTCTAAAGCCCAGGTGAGAAACAGCTGAATTTAGCTATCATTAGACTATGCATTGCTAAGGGACAAAGATTTGACAATGTCACTTATAGCTACTTCCTTGTTTGGAAAAAGAACAAAACCCAGTGACTGGGTCTTTCTGAAACTGAGGTAGAAAGAAAAGCTCATAATCACTTTAAAAAAAAAAAAACCAGAACTTTTAGCTAACTCTTCTTTTTGTAAGGTTCTAGAATAACATTTATCCTCACTTTCTATCTGTCTTAGCCTCACTCTTACTACTCTGCTATCCAAATTCCTTTGCATTTTCTTAATGCAAATTTAGTACTTTCCCTTTATGTTTATATCATTAAACAGAATTGTTTAATATCAGCTTTGTCTAAACCAGTAACTATCACATGTGGTAACTATGAGTTTCTGTGTCAGGAAGGGTTAACAAATTAGTGTTAATTGTGTCCTGCAATTCAGCAATAGCCACTGTCTAACAATTTTTACCTCTTTGGTACAGATTGTCTTAATATTTCATAGTGTTGTATAGCCCAGGATGTAAACAAATTATGTTACAGATTCTGTGATCTTCTTTTTCCTGGCATTGTTATCCCAATTAAAACTCACAAATTTGCTAGTGAGCCAGTAACTTCTTCAATTAATTTACTGTTCTCATTAGGAGTGTTCTAGGGTCTGTCTCGCATTTGTTAAGGCTATACTCAAAATTGGTCTTGGAAAGGGTTATCTGAAAAGGCACAGACATACATAGAGAGATGAGAAGGGAGTTGCTCAGATGTGCTTAGTTCCCAGTAGTTGTAGGTATCTGCATTACTGCTGTTTCCAGTGTAACTAATGCTCAATTACATTTATTTATACCATTATTTTCCTTTTGCATATGGCTTCTGGACCAGACATTTCTATTAATTCGAAGAAATAAGTCTCTTCAAATTTTTATCTATACAGGGACTTAGCTGTTTCTGCCCCATGCTATTTTGTAGTATGATATGCAGAAATCCTAAGGAACAATATCTGTAGACTTATAATATTCCAAAATGTTCTTAATATAACACCTGAAGTAATTTTAGCAAGGTATGTGTAGGTGGTTGCATGGACACAGACCCAAATGCAAATTGCACAGGTATCCAGGAGACCAACAGTTTCAGTGAGTGGTCTGAAGGTGGGCTTGATCTCACTGTTGAGTCCTAAATCCAAGAAACTAATGGATGCCAGTTATGCACTACCCTTCCTATATTTAGATACTGATCATGCTTTAAAAGTAATAGGCCATAATACTTGTTAGCTCTAATATTAGAAGTACCTGATGCGAGGCAAAAGGAAGAATAGCAATTGAAGGTAAATCTCTGCATCTTGGTTCTCTATTTTTTCTCTTCCCTGTTATCTTTTCCCTTTTAATCAAAAAGCTGTTTCAAGGTAACTTTGGTATTACTGAGTTGCAGCAGTAAACTATATGGGATTATTCATTATTTGACCACATCTAAAGAAGGATGACCCCAAATCATAAAACACTGAGTTCCAACTCAGCGCATTAAGAGAATTCAGCATGCAGAAAATTCCCCAGCACAAGCTGATCTGTATCTAAAAGCCCTAGGTGTAACCTGGACTTCAGAAAAGGCCAGCAAGTCATTTCTGCTAGCCCTGTAATCCCAGTGGTGTTATTTACCTGGAGCAGACTAGATGACTGCACAGAGATTTGAGATGATTCAGAAAGGGTGAAGGTCCAAGGCAGGTGGAGAGCCAGCCTACGTGGCTGTACTGATGTCCTAGACTGTGGAGTGTTGCTCTCTTTACAGGAAGAGTCGTCAAACGGCTCTTATTAAACCCATAATTTGTGACTCTTGTATGCCTGAATGTAATGCAAATCTGCTGTTCTTCTTGTTTGAAATTACTGACAACAGAAGACAGAATGGAAGTTCAAGGAAATGGTTATAATAAGCACCACCTCAGAGCCTCATGCTGACTTCAATTTTCTTATGTCTTTCCCTGCTTTGAACTCTCTAACTTCTGTCCCAGCAATTTAACACTTGTGTTTTGTGTTAGGTGAACTCTTTATATAAAAAAAGTCTGAAATTGCATGTTTGGTAGTAACTGTTAATTCAGTTGAGACTGAAGTCATCAATACAAGAGATTTTAGTAGTGCTTACAGTTGTGATGCAGCTCATTGAAAGGGAAATAAAGTAAGGGTAAATATTAATGTCTTCCATCCAGGATTTGCATTAGCTACAAGGCTTGTTCTATGCTAAGGATGAGAGAACTTGAGTATTTGGTTTGTATTTGAGAGCCCAGTGGGTCAACTGCTGAAAACAATAAAGGTGACTTTAATTCAGCCCATCAACACAATTAATTGTTGATAATACATCTTTGTGGAGTTAGTGGTCCAAAGTACTTCAGAGATCACCTGCTGAGGTTCCTGAGTTTTAGGTTGCACTTTAGGGATGGTGCTGGTGGGGTATTTTTTTGTTGGCGATGGTTTTTGGTTTGTTTTTTTTTGGGGTGGAGGTGGATGTGTTTGGGTTTTTTGTTGTTGTTGTTGTTTTGTTTCTAACCCTATGTGTTACTTTGGGTTTCATGTATCTTGGTGGATTGTTTACTAAAACGTGGGAGAGAAAAAAAAAAAGAGCATGTGGAAGAACTGTGTCCATACAGGAATATGGTTGGAAAGAAAGGTACAACAAACCGGCTTCTGATTCCTGTCTTTGAGGTGTTGGATGGTGCCTTTCAGTGTCACTTTTGATGGCTAACAGTTCTTCCTAGCAACTTCTGGGATACAAAAGGTATGCAAAAAAGGGTAAACCTTTGTGGGAAGAAGTTTTGATTTGTCTAGACAGAGCTTCCTTGACATAATGTAGATAATTGCTCCCTAGCCTCCTGCAGACTACCACCTATGAGCAGCTACAGCAGCAGAGTATTTATGCCTGTTAAACCAGAAGTTCTGCCTGTTGTTTTTCCTGCCTTCATCACTTTCCACTGCTATAGTCCAGCTATGTTATACCAGGACATTAAACATTCCGCAAACAGAATGTTTAGACGGGCTCAAGACTGTCTGTGCTCCATTTTTCAGAGTCAACTTTCCTAAGAATTAAAAGGCTATCTGGAAAGAGAAAATGGCAGAGTTCCTACTATGAGACATCTTCAGGCTGCCTTCTGAAGTGAGCATGGAGTAAGAAACTCTGGTAGGGATTTCTAGCAGTGCACAAAATTCCTGTGCAAACCCCCCTCTTCCCCAGAGAGGCTTCAAGCGTTTGATAGTTATTGCTAATGTCTTAAACAGCTTGCACTTGTATTCTAAGGACACAATACTACATAGAAATGTACTCTGTTAGCTGGTGATGTCCTGTTTAAATAACAGAGGAAAGGACTAAAAGGTGACTTCCTTGCTACAGAAGACAGGAAGGATCTTTTTGAGGTAGAAACAAATGGTTTCCACTTAAAGTATGGGACCTGTGGACCAACAGAAATATTTTGCTGTGCATATATGCTAGTTTTAGCAATGCTACATAAGCAAGCAAAGTAACTTTTTCCCATATAACCTTTGTTTTCTTCAGTGCTGACCTTTAGTCACTCTGTATAGTAAAAAGCAAGTACTTGTTTCCTGCAGGGTGGAAATTAATGTTGTCTCTAGAAGCTTTGTAAACTGAAAGTTCAATACAACATAAGGGCTGATGATCCTGTCACTGTTAATCTACCTGCACACTCTGTATGATTGTGCTATAATGTCATAGAAAACTTAAGCCTTGATTTCAGGCCTCAGAACAAGCCTGGGAGGCTTTGCAAGAGGATGGAGGAAGGGAGGGCAGTCATCCTGTGCAGTACTGGCTGCTGAATCCTTGTGCTGCTTGCAGGAATGAGGACACAAGGGTGCTCCTATCAAGCTATGCCTTTGGGGTCACAGTATCACAGTATGCTAGAGATTGGAAGGGACCTCGAAAGATCATCTAGTCCAATCCCCCTGTCCTCCCCAGCTCCCCCTTCCCTGGGCAGCTGAAGATTCCTGGGAAGCTTTGTGATAACCTTCTTAACTTCCAGTGAGGTTAGAACAGCATCCTTGTGTAAGTGCTTAGTAACCTGCATTCTTTAAAGCAAAGCAAGTTTTGCTGTGTTAAAGAAAGACGAGCCCTCCAAGAACAGAGAATATCAGCAAAGCCTTCAGACCAGTGGCCAGGGTATTGAGAAGCAGCACACAAGATGCCCAGATGAAAAAGGACAAACAACTGAATGTGAGCACCCACTAGATGGAGCGATTAAAAGGGGGTAACATTTTTACCTGTATTAATGATAATAAAAGGTAGGTGGCAGATTTACTCTCTTATGCTATTCAAAGTCATATAGAGTTAACAAAAATTTGGTTACAACGTTCAGTACATGAAAGTACTGAAAAAAAAAAAAGTGGGTTACAGCTAGAAATCTACCATAAAGCATTTGGGGACTAGAAAAAAATCATTTAAAGAAGGTTGCAGTTTAATTTGTCAAGAGATGGAAAGGTGATTTAAGCATGCATAAATCCTTGTGGAGAGAAAATGAGTACAAAAGAGCTCTTTAATCTATCACTTAAGAGTATAGCAAGAACCAATGACTGGAAACTAAAGACAAATGCAAAGTTTAAAAGCATGTGCCCTTTTTCCTATAGGGAAAAACAATCCACTAATGAAAATAAAATTAAAAAAAAACCAAATAACAGAACCCTAAAGTTCTGATGCCTTCAAATTAATATCCTTTGTTGGCAGCACTGCTCCTAGAAAATAAAGGTCATCTGCCGCATTAATGATTTCTGAATTTCTGTGTCTTGGGTTTAAGTCAGATGAAATTATTTGATACTCCCTTACAGTTTTGAAAATCTGTAAAATGAGACCCCTTCCCCAATTCGGGGGAGAATGCAGAGAGAGGATAATTCTTGGGAGAAAAGGAACCCAAGCAATGAAGAGACAGAAAACACTGCTCCAAGAAAAAAAAATAAACAAACAGAACATATTGGTCTATAAAACAGCCTCCTTAAATGCATTTTTTGGTCAGTAGTTTTGACTACACCTGTCATTCATAGGACAAACAAGGAAGACATAGTGAAGTCAGCTGGCTGAAGACTAACAGTTGTATGTAGGAACTGCTATCCTGGTTTACAGCAGTGGTCCTCCTGAGTAGCTCTCCCAGCTAATCATGCAGTTATGCCCTGCGAGGGTGGGAGAGGGAGAGAAGGAAACCTGATAGCTCAGTGTCCTTTGGCAGCCTTTTGACTTGCTGGATAATGTATGATGTAGTCCTTCAGCTCTTGGTACTGATTAGGCTCCTCTGGGGCTCTGTGTGGGAGTTTGGGCTCTGCATTTCAATAGAGGTGGATGTAATAGAGAGAATCTAAAGGTGTAGAAAATGTGCCATAAGGAACTTGGCTTGTTTCTTCAAGGGAATATGTAATAGCTTAAGTACTGGTTTCAGTTTTTAAAGTTGCTGCAAAAGGAAATTAACACTTTTCCTTAGACACTTGAAGGAGATGGGATTAAAAGCTCCTGAATATCCTTTAACTCGCTCACTTCTTGATACAAGGCAAAGCTTCCCAGTAGGGTAATGAAGGACTAGTAAACATAGTTAAGAAAAGGTGTGTAATCTCTGTTGAAAGGCTTCAGGAACAGGTAGGACAAAACATCTCTCCAAATGACATGGGGTGACCCTGGTTTTGTTACGACGCAGATAAACTTTTGGTCCTTCCTGGCTGTAAGATTCTTTTCTTTTTTTTTTTTTTTTTCCCCTACTTCTTTTGGGCTGATGGCCATGGGGTGGTGCACTGTTTAGCTGGAGGCTATGACTTTCTGCAAATGGATATTGTGCTGAACAAGGTTCTAAGTGTTGCCAAAGAACGTACATCTCCTCTTGATTCTAAGTAAAATCTATCAACCAGTTTAAAAGGCAAACATTGTTCCCTGATAAAATGCAGCTGGTGTGCATGTGAGCTTAGTCAGCAGACTATAAAATAGCATAAGCTTTCCATAGTGATCAGAAACATCAAAAGCAGAAAGTGTATTTAAAAAAAAAACCAACCCTCCAGCAGATTGTTATAATTATTAAATGTACCACAAGTAGTGATAGAATATAGCTGACTTGATATTACCCAGACAGGAAGAAATAATATAGCTTTGGTCTGTGACTGTATACAGATTTCAAAACTCAGAGAGAGGGTGGATCATCAGATATCAGAGTATGTGTAGCTCATCATTTAAAATGGGTTTGCTATCATAAGAGAGGCATATATTTACTGTAACACACAACTGCAACTTTTGAACAAGTTAACAGCTTTAATGCCACTCTACTTGGGAACAGGGAAAGATTAAACTATGCAAATCTGTTCCGTGAACTGCCTTAATGAGATGCACTGGTGTATAACCCTGGTGTGTGGTTAGACTTACCTACAGAGTAATGCTTGCAAGTTCATGTGCGATACCTGTCAAAAACCTTCCTGTTTAAAACTTAACAAAACAGAAGTAGGGGAGCAACAGGAACAACACTGCTGCTTTATGGGAGTCTCTCAGGTACTCTCAATGATCTGGAAATCAGCTTCTTTGTTGCCTCTGCTTGCCCTTGTGGGGCTGTATCCTGTATGATTTCAACTCCAAATGGAAGCAATAAGGTAGGATGGACATATGACTGCTGCCAGGAGAGCAAGTCTCAGATGGAGCTTTTCTGAACTTTCCCCTTCCTCTTTAGATCACATTTCCTTAAGAAAAAACCTAGGGGAGTGCTCTTAAGTGTCTGCTGAGGAAAAAAAGGAACCGGAGGCATTTAACCCATTGCAACCAGTCTTTAAAAACTGATAAACCAATCAACAGTTGCATGAGAAGCCTTTTCATAGCATGGTGAATTTTCTGTAAAAAAAAAAAAAAAAAAAAAAAAGAAAAAAAACAGGAGAGAAGTACCTTTTTACTATTTGCACTTTTAATCAGATTAATTTGGTTTTGCCTCCTTTTATTATGCTGCAACCAAAACAGGCTAGTGGTGGAGTGATGAAAATTCTTTTGACTTTTTATTGACAGGGCTGTTCTGGATTCCTTTCAGTGCTCTATTTTGGCCTTACCTAGTTTCTCTGACCTATAAGTTGCTGAAGTAATATCTAGATCTCTCTTTTGTCGTCTGGGGGCTGGGAAACCTCTGGGCCTGCTCTTTCATTTGCTACTTTCTCTGCTTGCAAGAGAACTACTATGTAGTTCAGTCATACCACAGTGCCAGCTAGATGCCTTTTTTTAATCTCCAAAATCTGTACTACTAAAGATTAAGATCAAACTGAAATTGTCAGCGCCCCACAAGTCAGGAAACTGGCTTCAATAAACTCTCCTCCAAACCATTAATTTTATATTCCTGTTGCTTTTTTGAGTTTTTGCAGCTATATCTGCTAATGTGAGAGGAAGAAATTATTCAAAACCTAAGGATTTTGCCTATTAATATAGCAAGAAGTAACAATATTAATATAAAGAAGCAAGAGCTTAAAAAGGAACATGACACTGTAACAAAACGTTGAGAACAGTGGTTAAACCTACCAAGTTAAAAAAAAAAAAGCAGAAACACACAAACACCCATTTTAATTTTTTTTTCCATTAATTTAGATGCTTCACATCCTAATTGCACACAAAGATATTTCTGAAAAAAACCCACAAGTTACAGCTTCTTGGTATACTGTCTGTCTCTGGATTTTGGGGAAAAAAATCACTTGAAACATAGTTGTGTTAAACACCATCTAGCTTTGCCATGTTCCCCAGTGAGATGCTGCACTGGGAGGCTGGAACACACATAACAGCAAGAAGTGGTGCCTCCAGAATTTCGCACTAAAGCTTTAGCGGCTTGATTTTCAGAAAATGTCCTCAGTATTGCCCAGTGATCACTCTATGATGAAATTTCATCAAGGCAGTAGCACTACCAGGCTGTGTATCTTGTGATCAGAGCCTACCTTTGCTATCATGCACAGGAAAGATCCATGAAAAGTTAAATAGTGGAAGTTAGCATAAACCATAAATTTCAACTATATTCATTAATAATCAGTTAT